TCACCCTAAATTCAAATTTAAAGGATGAATTTAAGCATAGGTTCGTGTAAATTAATCAAAACCGAGTAAGAATTACTTACCAAAAGCACCTAGGTGAAAATCTCTTCCAAAATCTCCAATCCCGAGCTCCCAAATCAATTCCTAAGATTTTGAAACTTAACCCTCGATTCTGCCCCTTTTCTGACCAGTGAAACCGCACCTGCGGTCCCACTTCTGCGTAGACCAAGTCGCACCTGCGACTTTTCATTAAACAAGGATATCCGCACCTGCGACCTCCATTCCGTAGATGCGGTGCCGCTTCTTTGATTCCTGGGCCGCATCTGCGGCCAATTCCAATTACGCCCCAGACCGCACCTGCAACTAGCCACACGCTTCTGTGGGCCCGCACCTGCGGTCCCCAATCCGCAGGTGCGGTTATGACAGAACTTCAACAGCTGAAACTGCTTCCAAACCTTCCAATTTTCTTCCGAAATTATCCCGAGGCCCCTGGGACCTCAACCAAAAATACAAAATAGTCCTATACCACTATTAACTTGTACCAACCTTCGGAACACTCAAAACAATATCGAATCATCAAAACACCCTCGGATTCAAGCTTAAGGATTCCAAAACTTCAAATTTCCGCGTTTCATCTAAAAGTCTATCAAACCTCATCCGAATTACCTGAAATTTTGCACACACGTCCCAAATGACACAACGGACCTACTCCAGCTTCCGGAATTTCATTTCGACCACGATATCAAAATCTCACTATCAAACCGGAAACTTCAAAAATTCGACTTTCGGCATTTCAAGCCTAATTAAGCTACGGACCTCAAAAACACATTCCGGACATGCCCCTAAGCCCGAAATCACCCAACGGAGCTAACGGAACCAACGGAATTTCATTTCGAGGCCGTCTTCACACTGCTCCGACTACGGTCCAAATTCTAAGGCTAAAACTCTCATTTAGGGACTAAGTGTCCCAAAACACTCCGAAACACAAAACGAATCCTTCCGAAACTCACAATAGCAGAAACAAACACGGGGGATGCAGTTAATAGGGGAACGGGGCATTAATTCTTAAAACGACCGGCCGGTCGTTACAGATGCAATAATCATCCTCCTCCCGGTAGCATTCAATGAAAAATATTCCACAGCATTTAGTGCAATGCGGGTACAGAGAATGTGTCATTTATGCTCACTGTTACACCTTCTTCAATGGCCCTCATAATTGACATTAAAGAAGGGCATGATCCTAGGACCTTGTTCCCTAGGTGCGACTATAAATAGTTAGTGTTGTTATCATTGTACGGACACGGATTTTCTGAAAAGCTTATGCTATAATCAATCCAAAGCTCTATAAATTTTGACTTTCTCATTCTTTGATTTTATCGCTGTTGTGTTTGGAAGCTTGCTCCCGGAATTATTGTTTCTGCTATTTTATCTTCATTCAAGGCTTAGTATTGCATATTTCTTCAATTATTCTATTATTTCAAATCGAATTAATTCACTTGTCTAGAAACCACAAACAAATTCAACTGTACGGTTTTACCGGTATACAGATATATATAAGGTTAATTTTTTTTCCATGTATATATCTATTAAGTGTCGAATCTACTTATATTTTATATATATTATTTTATTTATTATTGAATCCTCTTAATGAAAAATTCTGCTTTTTTGGTTGGGCTGAAATTGATCGAAAATGATGAGTTGAAATTTTTTTGGTTAATATCAAAAATCAATCGACGCGGTCAGTTCACTGACCGAAAAAAAAAATTAAAATCTAACATAATCGACAGAATTCGGTCGAACTTTTTGAATCCATCAATTATAAAATATACCATTCGGGAATAACTAAATATGAAATAATTATAATTTTAAATTTTATACTGAGGTTAGTATCTTAATCCCGATACCGTCATAAACTTTGGGAGCTTTTTTTTCGAATTTGTTTTCTAATATCTGTTTGTTTATTGATTTTAACCATTTTTTTGCTAAATTTTGAAAACAAAATCTTCAAATCCCAAAAATAACTCTAGAGTAGTTTTTGAAGTTTTCTACTCGCAAAACTTTAAATTCTTTTCAAGTAAAATGCATGTCCAAAAACACTTTCAAAAATCAATTTTCATCTTATTTTCAAAAACTCTTTTTTTTTTCAAGTTTAATTAATTCTATGTCTAAACGCTAGCTTAATTGTCTTGTGAGGGACAATGTTGGAATTTCAAGGATAAATTTGGTATCACCCTTCTATAAATAAGTGATACCCCATTGGATCTTTAATTTGCCTAGACAAAAATAGTATCCAAGAGATGGAAGTTGCCAAAGTTCTTCACATGAATGAAGGAATTGGAGAGGCTAGCTATGCCAAAAATTCTCTGCTTCAGGTATAAAATATAAACACTTAACTTTTTATTTCCCCGTAGAGGTTATAAACTCTCAATTATATTCTCTTTATTTCATTTCATATGACAATCTTTCTTTTAGTCTTAAGAAGAATATTTTAAGGGTACTTTTATGTATGCCACATACAGTTAGAGCCGGATATAGGATTTAAATTCTATGGGTTCAACATTTAAGATTCTTACTATTGAACCCATTACATTTTTAAGTTATGGATTCATATCCACTCATTATTGTAATTTAGTAAATTTTTACACACAAATTTATGCATCGGGTCAAAAATTATGAATTCAATAGAACCCGTCGGAGTTACGCTACATCCGCCATGTGTACAATATGATCCCACAAGTGGGATATGGATAACATGGAGTGCACGTACATCTTACTTCCTGTCTCGTATAAGGTAGACAAGCTATTCTCTATATATGATCATTCATGAACTTTATTATAAAAGTAAATTTCAAAAAAATGATTTTCTGTCACATCAAAGTTACTAAACATTACCCACACAGTAAAGTTATAAAATTATTTTTTGATACATTAAAATAACTGAACTTTGCGTATTATAACGGTAATGCATTCATCTAAAATTAACGGAATTTTATATACTATATAATAGTGTTACACTGTTCATTAAGAATTTACATAAGACGGGAGATAGCACTACCATGCAATACGTTCTTATTAAAATATGGTGTAATTCGTGCCCGCCCGTCTCCACAAGTACAGGTTAATGTCTGAAAAGATTGACACTATTTTTTATTATTTAGTTTTAAAAAGATTGCTATACTCTTATATTTTCTTAATGAGAAATTTTTATAGCCATACAATTATTACTCTCTTTATTAAACTCTGTGCGTCAAATTACGACAAACAAATTGAGACATTCTGATTTACATTCCATTTGTATACAGCAAAAGGTGATCCTAATGACAAAGTCAATAAGAGATAAAGCCATATGTGCACTCTACCGCAGCCTTTCCCCAGAAACTATTTGTATTGCGGACTTAGGTTGTTCCTCTGGACCTAACACTTTCCTTGCAATTTCCGAACTCATTAAAACTATTTATGAAGAAAGCAAAATCAATGGCCAAAAACAGTCGCTTGAATTTCAAGTTTTCTTGATTGATCTTCCCAGAAATGATTTCAATACCATTTTCCGGTCGTTGCCGGCGTTCTACGAAGATTTGAGGAAACAAATGGGAGATGGATTTGATCCTAATTGCTTTGTTGCAGGAGTTGCTGGTTCATTCTATAATAGACTTTTCCCTTCCAAGAGTATACACTTTGTCCACTCCTCTTACAGTCTCCACTGGCTTTCTCAAGTATGTTTTTGTATTGTTAAGTACTAATGAATCCATATCGTCTACAATTTTAAAATATTAGAAAGAGTATACTTTTATTTATTTAATTATGTCTTCAATACACCCCTGACGTGCGAGCTTAATTCCTTTTGATGATCCTAGCATGTGTTTTTTATTTTATAATGGGTGGCAGTATTACTCTCGACCTTTTATCTGCTCTAATGTCATGTTGGAGTATGTGAGCAATTTTGTCTTGCATATGGATTCTAGGAGATGATGATGCAATTTTTCTTATGTTACGGTACAAAATAATTTTGTGAGCAAACTTGAAGAAAAAGAACTTTAACATTTATATTAATCATAATCTTATATTTGTTTCTCTTTTTAAATTATTTTTTGAATTGAAATCAATAATATAGGTGTCAGATGCAGATTTAGGATATATAGGATAGGCTATGCACAAATTTAACTTAACCCTTTGCTTTCGGGGGCGGAGCTACAAGTGTAGCTAAGCTCAAACCCTGTATTTTATTGAGAAATCTCTTTCGGTAAGTTAACTTGTCTTAGATTTCAAAATAGATATACTCAAAAGCAATTAAAATAAAAAAGGATAGCCCAGTGCACAAAGCATTTCGCATTCACGTAGTCTCTGGGGCAAGCCCGCATTCCTAAGGTTGTGATGTAGACAACCTACCCTAATGCAAGCATTAATGGTTGCTTCTACGGCTCGAAACCGTAAACTATAGGTCACACGAAAATAACTTTTTTGTTACTCAAAAAGCAATATATATATATATACACACACACTGATCGACTCTAATTTTATTTCTCCACTAATAGGTACCCGATGGAATAGAGAATAATAAAGGAAATATTTACGTGACAAGTACAAGCCCACTAGATGTGGTTAAAGCGTACTACGAGCAATATGAAAGAGATTTTGTAAATTTTCTCAAGTATCGCTCAATAGAATTGGTGAAAGGTGGGCGCATGATATTGACCATGCTAGGTAGAAAAAATGAAGATCGCTATAGCAAAGCTTGTCGCTACTACTTGGAGCCTTTGGTCATGGCTCTCAAAGAGCTAATTGTTGAGGTAAAACCAAACTTTTAAAATACACATATCATTCTATAGATCGTCGCGGTATGAACTTTATTTATAGATCCCAGTTTACCTATTGATCTTGATCAGTTCTAATTTAGTTTTTTTTCGTTGAGAGTAGTTATTTTTTTGGACTGGATCCGCTTTTATAATGCAGTTTCATTTTATGTGGTAGTCTTGTTTGATTGGTTATAAAATTTAAGAAACAAATGAGAGTGTCTTCAACATGCCAATTTTCGCAGGAGAAAAAGCATGTCATTATGAATAGTAAAATATACTGATTTTAAAAAAAACAAATAAAGCATAAATTAGTGCTAAACCAATATGATATTTTTATGTATACATTAATAAATGCAGGGATCAATAGAAGAAGAGAAAGTAAATTCATTCAACATTCCTGGATACTGTCCATCTCCTGCAGAAGTGAAGTATATAGTTGAAAAGGAGGGATCTTTCACCATTGATGTCTTGGAAACTTCAGAAATCCATATGGATTCTTTTGATGAATACAATGCGACACAGTGCATGAGAGCTTCTACTGAGCCTTTACTTGTCAGCCATTTTAGTGATGAACTAAATATGGATCAAGTGTACCACAAGTGCAGAGAGATCTTTGTCAATGGCATAGCAAAAGAGAAGACTACGTTCACAAATGTTATTGTCTCCTTGACCAAAATAAACTAGGGCAATTAGTTAATGCACACTACAAGAAAAATGCTCAATAGCGAAGGAAAAACTGGTCCCTAAAAGTAAGAAATTGGTCGCAAATGCTCAATAGCGGCCAGCTAATCTGGTCCTTATAGCCTTCGTCGCTAAAGGTTATTAAGGACGAGATAGTGGGCTGGTCGCTAAAACAGTTTCGCGACCAGTTTCAAATTGGCCGTTAAATGTGTTTTCAGGACCATGTTTCTGGTGCTTATTTGCATATTTTAGGGACTAAATATCTGGTCCTTAAAATATTTTCGCGGCTAGTTTAAATATGGTCGTTAAAACGTTTCACGGCCGGTAAATTTCTTGTCCTTAAAATATTTTCGCGGCTAGTTTAAATATGGTCGTTAAATCGTTTCACGACCAGTTAGAAGCTTGCCGTTATATCTATTCAGAGAAGTTTAAAGCTGATCCCTAAAGAAACAAGTCACAAGTCCCTAAATCACATTTAGTTTGCAACTAGAAAATCGGAAATATTAATATATAGATAATGTTGCTTTCATAAAATAATACAAAAAATGATCAACATCAGTTAATTAGTTGAATCGTACATCAATGATTTAAGCTAGTCACAATATTGTGTTCATAAACATTTAGCAAAAAACTACATATACTAATAATATCCCTCGATTGTAATGTAAAATTTTCTTGAAATTCCAAGCAAAATTGTGGTTGATCTCTATGTCGTCAAAAATCGGCTTTCTCGTAAACTTCAATATCCAAAACCTGTTGAAGAAATAAGAATTCAGTTAGAAAAACCATATATAACAGACGTATAGATACTCAAGTCTCAAGGGGGAATCCCGGGAGAAGCTCAATAGGATATGTGCTGAGGAATGAAGAGGGACAAGCAATGTAACAGTGGCTCACACCCTCAGAGAAGGAAACAAATTAGGTGATCATTTAGCTAACTATGCTCTGGACTTTGGAGATATTGAAGCAAAAAATTTCTGGGAGTTGGATACACAAGGAAGGAAAATAGTGAATGATGATAAGTCACAATGCCTATATATAAGAGTCACTTGGTCCCGTATCATTCAAGACTTGAAAAGACTTCCTACTGATTCTCCCATAGCTGCATTCTACTTGTGTTTTTTGGTGTTGTCTATACCTATTGAGTTTTGT